CTAGTAGTATAGCTCTAGTACTAGTAGTACTTAGTACTATAGCCCTTCGCCCTGCGGCAGAGCGAAAGGCTATAGTACTTAGTGGTGTTCCGATTAATCGAGTTCGTCGATCATTACTCGTTTGGGCTGCCGAGTTAATTAATCGAGTAGAAAATCGGACGACCGAGTACAACTCGAACTTTTTTTCTTTCTTTTTTAATTTGATGAGCAGTTATGTTGCAATGCCCTTTAGAGTGTTACCCGTCCGTAACCCTAACAGTATCCTTAATTTACTTACCATTAAATACTAGCTACACATACAATCATGCCAACAGTATCCTTAATTTACTTACCATTAAATACTAGCTACACATACAATAATGTCAATATTCCTTCGCAATACACCGATTGTGTCGACGATGACGCGGCGTCACCGCGTCGTTGCCGCAAACTAAAATGATCGATGATTAATCGATCATCTGTCGCTTTGTAAAACCGATGATAGATCCCAGACCATTGTTATGAAAAACTTTATTTAGATAAGAGTGTGTCATCGTATGAATTCATAGATGCTGTTTCCCGCGCTTTAAATCGCGCGTGGGCCGAGTTGACGTGCAGCATTCGTATTCTACCACGGCATACACGAGCGCACGGTTTATCGATCGATCGTCTACTGCGGCTGGCAGCAAGCCACGTTATTGTTTTTGCCGAAGGGTAGACTGGTATCCGGCCTCACGCTCTGCTAGACAATGTACACGCTCTGCGACAAACAGTGCGGCCGCGAACCAGTCTAGCCAGAGGTGATCTTTCAGTGCAATATATATGACCAATTCTAACACGACCAGTCGGGCTACTAGCACTCTGGTTGTATGCGACCGGACCAAGCATTTACCCGACTAGGTCGGTCGGACGTGGGTTAGTGTCAAACCCTGCGCACCCTCAGATTAGCAAAGCGGAGTTATAACGTCTGCATTTGCGGACAACTAGTAGTACTACTAGTACTACTACTACTACTACTACTAGTACTAGTACTACTACTACTAGGCCCTACTACTAGCTCTAGTACTAATACTAGTATACTTACTATTACTACTACTACTACTGCTATTACTAGTACTATAGCCCAATAGTCAATACTGCCAATGCCAATGGCAATGGCAATGGGGCAACCTAGGTCTGCCTAGCTATGCCTAGACATAGCTAGTAGTAATAGTAGTATTTGTCCGCAAATGCAGACGTTATAACTCCGCTTTGCTAATCTGGGGGTGCAGGTTTACTGGGGTCTGCGTCGGCTCGGACTATAGTAGTATTAGACCAATAAATTGTGCCCTAAAAAATTTTATATTCTGATGTTATCTTAGGGCCCAATAGCCTTCCATAGACAAATCCTGTGAATTTTGTCGTGCAAAATGCACGACAACCTTTTCACTATTTACGACCGTGTTACATAGAAAATCAAAGAAATACCCAAAGCCGTCGCTTTATTAACATCTCACCTCAGGGTTCTCCCCGTTTGCGCAACGTCGGGCGCGCGCGCCCCGTTTGGAAAACTCCCCCCCTGTTTGAATCGTTGCGCCCGTTTAAATTACCTCCGCCCCGTTTAAATTCCACCACAATAAAAGTTTGCCAGCGCGGGAATCGATCCTCTAATTTAAATGCGTTCGACCAGGACATCTGAGCATGCACTGCAGACAGTACTACAGCTAACCTACTGCACAGCTTAACCTGTTGTACTAAACTGTACACCGACTCTGGTATCTATATATATCAAGAACCCGCACAATTACCGTCTAATGGGGTGGTGGCGATTTTTACCCATTAATTAGTCGATACCGGTATAAATACACGCCCCGACTCCCCTAGTTTCCCCCCTCCCCCCCCCCCTAGTTTCCCCGCCCTCCCCTTCCGGCTCCCCTACCTCCTTCCCCCTCCACCCCTGTTTGAATTTCACCTTGGGGAGAACCCTGCACCTACATTACAAAACGCTTGTCATGCAGTATTCTCCTCTTTAATCATGTTTATTTTATTAAAACATCACGACATAAAAATCACGCAAACTTCGCTACAAACAAAACTGGCAATCTTGCATTGAACCGCACCGGACAGCGATGATTTCATTGGCCGATGAGAAATGTCATTGTGCGGTTCAATGCAAGATTGCCAGTTTTGTTTGTAGCGAAGTTTGCGTGATTTTTATGTCGTGATGTTTTTAGGTATTTCTCTGATTTTCTATGTAACACGGCCGTAAATAGTGAAAAGGTTGTCGTGCAGTTTGCACGACAAAATTCACAGGTTTTGTCTATGGAAGGCTATTGGGCCCTAAAATAACATCAGAATATAAAAAATTTTAGGGCACAATTTATTGGTCTATAGTAGTATGTGCTATGTATGGCTACGGAGAGACTGAATAATTCTGTCCCATATAACCTTTTTTATATTTTGGTGAGGGTTATTTTAATGGTTTACTTGGTTTACTACTGATATGTGTATACATTCACTTCAATCGGTATTCACTTCTTAAAAGATTGTTTTTCAGAAACCCCGCTTCGTTCCACTTTCCTAAATCACATTTGCCATTTACAAACAATCAGACCAATCACTGAATCAGAGCGAGTCTTACAATAGCCTCCCGCAGCGCCTCAGATACAAGCGAGAACCAGGCTATTGTAAGACTCGCTCTGATTGGTCTAATTGTTTGTAAATGGCGAATGTGATTTAGGAAAGTGGAACAAAGTGGGGTTTCTGAAAAACAATCTTTTAAGAATTGAATAACGATTGAAGTGAATGTATACACATCAGTAGCAAGGTAAAGCCATGTAGTACTAGTACTAGTAGTAGTATGTACTGATGTAACCCGACCAGGCTGTGTGACTAACGTCAATACACCGGTATTCTAACCCTAGCAATACACCGGTATTCTAACCCTAGCAATACCGTTTCTTGGAGCTAGTACTAATGCAAACTCGTATGCAGTGTGATGTAGATGTATAATAATGTAGCCAGCCGTAATGATGATACCCTCATTTTCGCAAATGTGCTAAACAAAGCTGGGGTACCGGATTGAACATGATGATGATCAAATCGTGATCTAGCCACAAGTTACCTACTCTGTAGTACTCGCTTCTCAAAATGTCAGACAGTACGTCAAGCAGTCGCAGAGCCTGGACGGACTAGTCATGGCTCGAGCCTAGCTAGTTTAGCAGCAGGGGTCGAAATTAGCGGTATCCCGATATCCGCGGGATAGTAGATTCTTGTGTTGGATACCAGATTTCAATGCTTGGTCAAAATCGTCAAAATCGGGATAGTGGCACTGGTTGTTGAGCATATTTGCAAGCGCAGCCGATATATAATCATAGCCGATGTTGATCATAAATGTGATGTGTACATACATTGTATCAAGCGGTCTGACGGAGCAATTGAAAAACTTTTTTGCTTCAGCGGGGACCTAGCATTTTTATGTCTTTATTGAAAGGACCATGAAATGTACTTTCTGCTGACATGCGAAGAGTAAGTGTCGGATAACCTTTTGACCCTCAAGAGGAGGGTTAAACATGGATTTGTTTACTGTTAGAAAGAATTTGACTGCCGGGTTTGCTAGTAGAATCTATACATGCCTGGATGTATGAGGCTACAATGTCACAGTGAAATTTCAAAAGCTAAATTTGCTTGAAGAAGGTTTATGCTCTTTAAAATCGTATAATTTCGATGGCATTCTGTACTGTCAATGTGTTACATGTAACTTATGCCACTGCCAGTGGCCACTGCCAGTGCATGTAGTGGTGATAGTACTGTGTAGTTTTTGCCTGTGTTAATTAGTTACAGGTGGCAGCTCTCTATTTCAGTCTGTAGGCTTGCGTAGGTAAAAGGATGAGTGCTTACCTATTCTGTCTTGCAAATAGTTGTTGCTACTACGTATGATGGGAGCTTCCATCTTTAATCTTAAGACACTTAAACGTACGCGCCATCTCGTGGCAACTTTCATAACGATCCCAACAAACATTCCTTTGAGAAGGTTCCTGATACCATCCCTGTGCCTTCCACTGTTTCGGCGTGTATGTGAACACATTTGGAACTAACAGGGTTTACTAGAATCCCACCACTCCACCACAGAGTCACCACAGTAGACGTTAGATGAGCGCTGTCGCTCCACGGCACTTGTTATATACATTACATTACATTACATTACGTGGCGGGGAATTAACACAGCCACAGCCGGGATTTAACATGCATTTAACGACATAGTAACCCGGGGTGGCCGGGAAATTAACAAGACATTTTACCAGCGGCGCCATTTATCCGTGATTTAACAATCAACAGCTCGCACCGGAAATGGGGCACTCGGCGTTACAAAGTCTGCAGTACTTTACCAATTGATACGTTTATTTGAAAAAGGTGTCATATGACAGAAATTCACATAAATAAATACTTGGACTTTACGAACCAGAATTTAATTTTGTTTGGAATCTGAGAAATGATCCCCGTTTATAGGGGCTTTTAACAGACTACCTGTCCCTTATGGGCGGGGAAGTTGATGTTTGTAACACTAGGGAAGTGTTAAATTCCCCGGCTTTTCCTGGGGGTCCGGGTGAGGGGGGCATTCAATTGACTGGTGCATTAGTGTAGCATATATGCGAAAACATATAACGGGGGTCCCAAACTATCCTCGATCCCTGATCATGAATATACAATATATCATGTGTGGGATTTGTGTAAATTCACTTTAGGCACCTTATCTGTCACGACATGCTGCACATATATCTCTAGATGTATGTGTGATTAAGAGTACATGTCCCTTATCTCTATAAAACGTCGTGGCAATCATGAGAGAAAAGTTGTATTGTTGAAAAATTGGGTTGTATTGTGGAAATTTGGACATTGGCTTGAAGGCGGAAAATAGCGATATTGCCTAAAACTAGTAGTTTAAATTGACTACGTCACGAATTTTCTATGGTAAAATTTGTAAAATGTTTGTTGCCATTTTTTACATTAAAAGTAAGAACTAACGGGACTAAACTTATCATCAAATTCTTACCTGATAAGATTGTTTCTCAACTAGTTAAAAATCCAAAAAACGTGGACGATTTGATATTGTGTTCCTGACATTAATTGCTTGCTATGGGCTATGTATGAGTCATGAGTGTATGTTCACATCGAACAATATAGTAAAATAGGAAGTATAATGCAGCAATTTAACCATAAAAGGTGAACAGAATTACTTATATTTTGTGAAAAAGTGGAAATATTTTTTTAATTTTCACGATTTACGGTGATGTAATCACTTTAACACATATGCATGCTTTGCTCTGCAATTTCCCTTCTCTTCGATGCTCTGCCAAATTTATGCTGTGCCTTAAGCTTGTTGGGAGTCGCTAAGTGTTGTAAGTTGTTATTTAGTTTATCAGTGGAACCCTGCTGAGCATATATATATATGCTACTAGCAAAGTACCCGTCCTTCGGACGGTGGGAAATCATGAATGAGTGTATTAGTGTTGTAGCTCACCTAAGGGTCAAGGGCTTCTTTGTAAAGTATGTTTTTGGTCTTCGTGTGCTGTGTGTGAATGAACATCGCCCTGGGTTTGCCTACTTGTGAGAGGGCAACATAGAGCATGCCATGGAAGAAGACAGGTGTGGTCAGGCCCAAGCCTATGGTAGTGAAAGTCTATGGTAGTGATGCTCACGGGTGCGGGCATATGCTGTGAATGTAGAGATGCATGGTTTAGCTGAAAAGAAGTACTTTGAAGAAGTAAAATAGAATACAAAAGTTTATTTGATGAGATTTACAGGTGATGGACACTAAATTACAGAACTTCATGGTATACAACGTTGGTAGTGTAGTAAACAGAGTCTGATTTCCCTTGAGTTTGGTTGTGAGTAGTTTCCAGTTGAAGCTTTATCTCAGCGAAAGATTTAGCACGTAAGAAGTCAACGTAAAGTTGGCCATGAGAGAAGACGGGTTTTGGGAGGAAAATCCCCAGCTTCTTGAAAGTTTGACCTTGTGCTTTATTGATGCCAGATGGGGATGCAGTAAGCCAAGCGAATAGGGAACTGGTGGCGTTGAAGTGTAAATGATAGCTTGACATCGGATGGAGCTAATATTATCCTGGGTATTAATGTTCTTTGTCCACTGCGAGGGCCGGTGAGTATTTCTGCATCAAGTACATGTTTGTGAAATCTATGGATTTTGAGTCTAGTACCATTGCAGAGTCATTCTCGAATATTTAGATTTAGTTTTCAGTGATAGTTTCTATGAGTTGTTTGTCAGCAGTTTGGATATGGTTTTCGGGGGCGGAGATTTTATCGCAAACGTCCTTTTTAGTTTTATGTAATTACCTGACTGTCTGGGACATGAGTAACCGAAACTGATCCTTCGGACGGTGGGAATTCATGAATGATTGTATTAGAGTTGTAGCTCACCTAAGGATGAAGGGCTTCTTTGTAAACTATGTTTTTGGTCTTCCTGTCCTGTGTGTGAATGAACATCGCCGTGGGTTTGCCTACTCATGAGAGGGCAACATATAGAGCATGCCATGGGAGAAGACAGGTGGGGTCAGGTCCAAGTCTATGGCAGCGAAAGTCTGTCGGCGGATAGAGAATTGCAGTCTTTTAAATTGAAATGGAAGATCTGATGGTGAAGGAATGAGTGGTTTGCGTGGTATGAATACGGTTTTGCCAGTTGCTGGTCCATGTAGGATGACGACGTCTATGACGTTGGCATGGCAGGCTGTGACTCGACAACGTGTTCCACTGGTGATGTTGGGTGGGTCTGCCTTGGGTTAAAGCCTGCTGTTAAAGCCTGTGGAATTCAAGAAATCCACAGGGAAATGGACAGCTTCGTTCACAGTTAGAGTCGGGTCCGACAGACCCTTCCAAAAAAGTGCCGACTCAAATTTTGTGATTAGCATTGTTGTAAAAAGAATATTAAATTGATTTATTTTAGACCAAGATCATAAATTAAGTCGAGAAATAGAAATTAGTCTTCCTAAACAATATTTTTCTATCATTTTTCTATCAAAATATGTATCGGGGTTTAAAGTTCTAGAAAATGAACACATTGAATGATAGTTTTGGTGTTTTTGACTTTAAAAGAAATTTTTAAGTAAAAAAATGTTTTTTTACCTACCGACCTACCTTTAAAAAAAATTGGTTTGGAATCGTAAACAGACATTTTTTTCATTTTATGCCTGATATTGAATTATATCAGCAGTTTCTAAGAATTGATATTAGAATTGAAATCCTCAATATCAGCAGTTTGTTTGGTCAGCAGTTAATAATTTCATGAGCTTTCTGGTCAGCAGTTGATAATCACTGTCTGTGGGGCTGTCTGGGGGTTTAACATGTTTTGCTAACAATACATAATTCATGCAGGAATTGGTGACAATTGGCAGGAATAATGCCATTTATTGACTCGGCAAACATGGTCACTGCCTACGAACTATGATTGTTATTCAAGAAACAGGCATATTGATATTTCGGAAAACCTACCTTAAGTGCAGGAGATAAAGGTATATTAACGTGTATTAACTCAGCTACAAAGTTTTCGGCGTCAAACTCAACCGAACGTGAAGATGTGGTGAGCACATTGTCGTGAAGAGCCTCATTATGGATTTTGGGATATCCCAGGGGAGTCCCATGAGGGGAATGCCTTAACTTAAAAATAACTTAGCTAATAAAAATTCGCTGTTTCCTTTTTATAGTATACATTTTAAATTAAATAAATTTTAAATATGCATATATTTAGGATGAAAGAAAGAAGTTGCGCACCTGGCGAGAAATATATATTTTTTAATTTCTGCGGCTGTCGAGTTTCGAACTCCCGACCCCTAACGTATTAGGCAAGCGTGCTACCACTGCGCCACAGCGCAAGCTGGCAACGACGCGTACTACATTGGTTAATGGTAGTCACTTCGATACACCGGTATGCTATTTTTAGCCAGTGTTAGATAAAACGGCTTCAAATTCAACTTTATCCTGTTTTCATCATTGCAAAAGTGCGCCAATATTACTCTATGAGTGTTAATGCATCGTTTACAGTAAAGCAATTTCAAATCATGCGAGCAGATTCAGAGAACATAGCTAACAAAAAATTGGCTCTTCCCTTTTATAGTATAGATGCCAAATTCAAATTTCTCTTCTCAATTCAGATTGATACAAGTGCAAAGTGCCATCACACTGCGGGATACAAGGCGAAGCGAACGCAGGCGCTCGCTCACGTCGACCTCCTACACCCCCCCCCCACCCCGTCAGGAGCCGTGGGAGAGCGTGGAAGCACGAGCGAGAATGAGCGAGAACGAGCCCGCGATACGATTCGTCAGGTCGCTGCGCGGCGGACGGCTGCTCGAGCTGAACGGTTACTTGTTTCGCATCAACGTGCGCAAGGACGACCGCGTCTACTGGAAGTGCAAGAGCCACGGATGCCGCGCGACTGCGATCCTCACGGAGACCGGCGCTCACATTTCGTCGAAGCAGCTGCACAATCACGAGCCGTGTTTCATCGACGACGGCGGCGGCGGCGGCGGGGTGAGGGCGCCGCGTACACGACACGTGGCCTGGAGTGCCGTCGCTCCACTCTTCGAGGGAAGCGACGTGCCCAATTGCGAACGCACAGCGTCGGCGACCGCGGTGCAGCCTAGCATTGTGCAGCCTAATGCAGGGCAGTCTATGAAATTCTCTTCCGCGGTGCAGCAGACCACATCTGCCCCAACTGTGCAGTCTACGGCATGCACTCCCACGATGCAGCCCATGGTACAGCCCATGGTGTCCGCTTTCGCCGTGCAGCCTAATGAAGTACAGCCGAATGCAGTGCAGTCTGTATCGTCTTCTCCCGTCATGCAGGATAACTTGGTACATCTTCTGGCACCTGCTCCGATGATGCAGCTTGAGGTGGTGCAGCCTAGCATGCTGCAGGCGACATCTTCGACTCTCTCAATGCAGCCTAATGCTGTGCAGCACAACGTGGTGCAGTCTGTGGCCTCTGAGCACACATTTCAGCCTGCTGCGTCTTCTCTCATGGTGCAGCCTCCCGCGTCCGCTCCCGCTACGCATCCCGCCACATCTCACCTCGGGGTGCGACCGGCGCGGCATGCGCCCCCCACCGCTACGAAGTACCGTCGCATCGAGATGGCGCGCGCGCGCATCCCGCCCGCGCCGCCGCCGCCGCGGGAGGGCGTCGCCGTGCGGCTGGTTGCCTCGGGCCGCGGCGGGCAGATGCTCGTGCTCAACGGCTTCGTCTACCGGCTGAACGTGCGAAATGAGCGCGCCGACCGCGTTTACTGGAAGTGCCGGACGCGCGGCTGCCGGGCGTCGGCCATTCTTGCCGGCGACGGCTCATACGTGTCGTCGCGCGAGGTCCACAACCACGCCGTCGAGACGGATCCGCGTGCCGGTGCTGCCACCACCACCTGCGCCTCCCCGCGCGTTTCCAGCGCTGCCTCCCACGCTTCCCCGCGCGTTTCCAGCGCTGCCTCCCGCCCCTCCCTGCACGATCCCACCGCTCATGTGTCGCCGCACGGCCCCTGCGTCATCAAAACAGAGCCGAGCGACTCGAATGCCGGCGACGTCTCGGCGCGGGTTCCCACGCGCGTTTCGGGGTCGGCCGCCTCCGCCGCCACGCCAGGATTTGGCGACGGGCGGCGGCAGCCGACGCGGCGCGGCGGGGCGGCGGCGCGCGAGACGTACGCCGGGTGGCGGCGCTTCGTCGGCAGCGGCGAGACGCCATGCGAGGCGCACGGAACGCGCTTCTTCAGCACGCAGCGCGGCCGCCGCCTGCTCGCCGTCAACGGCTTCCACTACCGCGTCAACGTGCACAAGGACGGCGGCAAGACCTACTGGAAGTGCCGGCGGCGCGGCTGCCCGGCGACGGCGATCACGACTGCACACAGCGCCAGCGTGCTCGCGAAGGAGACGCACACGCACCCGCCGGCCGACGTCGACGCAAGCGCCTACGAGCCGCTGATGATCGGCGGTAATCAGTTTACCCTGCCGCCGCGTTCTATTACCGAAGCATCGGTGCAGCAGCCGCGTTCAATCACGGATGCGTCGGTGCAGCCGCCGCGGCGGTACGATGCAATTGCCAGTGCATCCGCGCCACCACGGAAGTACGATGCAATCGCCAATGGATCCGTACCACAGCAGCAGTATGACGCGATATCAGATGCATCAGGGCCGCCACCACGGCAGTACGATGCAATCACTGATGTATCAGCCGATGCGTCCGCGCTACCGCAATCGTACGACGTGACGCAGCTGCAGCCATACAACTCCATTGCTGATGCGTCGGCGTCGCCACTGTGGGAGTACGACGCGACCCCCAGTGCATCCACGCCACTTGCGCAGCCGTACGACGCGATCGCTGATGCGTCTGCACCGCCACCGCGGCAGTACCACGCGACCGTTGATGCCTCTTCGCTGCTGCAGGGGTACGGAACGAGCACGGGCGCGATGGCACACACAGGGGGCGCCGACGTCGCCGCGGGACTGTCGTCAGCGGCGGCGCCCACGTCGCGCCGTGCGCCCGTCGAGCGCTGGCCGTGCGAGGCGGCGGCGACCGCGGACGACGCCGTCTACCACAAGTGTGTGCCATGCGGCGAGTACCTCTCGTCCGAGGACGCGTTCTATCGCCACTGCCGGCAGCGTCACTGCAAGCTGTTCCAGTCGACGGGCTCCGACTACGACGCCGCGGAACACGCTGGCTGCGTCGCCATTGCCGCCACCTCCACCGACGTGGCGCCGCCCCCCTGGGGAGAGCTGCTGCGGGACGGGAGTGTCCGCGTGAAGCAGGAGCCTGAGCTGGAAGAGGAGGAGGAGGAGGATGAGGAGAAGGAATCCTCGGAGTTTGTGCCGTGGGACGACCCGGTGGCGGCAGCGTTCGATGGGGGAGCGACGGACGCTCGCCATGACGACGACGAGGAGGGGGGCGACGCCGCGAGTTACGGTGTCTTCGATCTGACTTCGGCCGCGACGCGAGACGACGATGACGACGACGGCGACGGAGCAGGTGGCAATGATGCGGGCGGCTGCGACGCTGTCGCCTGCCCAGAGTGCGGCGACGCCCTGGTAACGGCAGCCGAGTTCAGCCAGCACCTGCGCGAGCACCAGGTGGCGCCGGCGGCAGCGCGCTTCGGTCCGGGGCGCTCGCGGCGCGGCACCGCTCGGGGGCGCCACACGGCAGGCAGGGGCCGGCGGCGGCCATGTCACGGGTGCGGGCGGTCGTTCACGATTGGCGCGCTGCTGATGCGTCACACGGCCAAGTGCGCACGCGGTCGCGCCACCCGGAAGAGGGCGCTGCGATTGCCGACTCGTGGCGCCGACCAGAGACCGTGGCACTCCCTGGTGGACGAAGACGTGGCTGTTCCCTCGGACGCGTTTTCTGGCAGTCAGCGTGCGAGCGAGAGTCCGACTTGTATCGGGACGCACGAGGGTGTTTGCTCTCCCGCGAGTGAAGGCAGCACGTCGACTGTCAAACTTAAGCAGGCGGACGATCCGCCGATAGGTGGCGCTGGCGGCGTTTCCGATCCTTGTCCGATTTGGCCGTCGATGGCGTTGTACAAGTGTCCGGTGTGCGGGGCCGCATTCTATGACAAGCAGGCATTGGAGAGACATGCGTTACTCCACGGCAGCGGCAGTGGTGATAGCGGGCTGCTGGTGGCGGCGGCACCCGGAAACATAGACACTTCATGCGTCGGTATGGATGGAATCCTCTAAATTATTTAAGTGGCTCGCGGCCAGTAGAACAGTGTGTTCTGTGTGTTAGCTAGATGCTTATGACCTGTTTGTAAGGCCTGAGTTGGCACTTTGAAGCCATTAAGTACTCTATGGTGGTATATGATTTCTCGCTAGCAAGTGCACCTTTTAGCATTGTAAAATTGTAAGTAATTTCACGCCGACACACTAAGAATGCGGTGACTATAATTACTAGTGTGATTTTACATGAATTTAATTGATATGTATAATAATTTTATTGTGTCAAATGCTGTGAGCGTTCATGAGCGAAATTAGACAATTATCACAGTGACTACTAAAAGACACTTTGTGTTAGAATCTATGGATATGATTTGTGCAAATTAGACTATGGCGTAGCTGTAGCATGTATGAAGCACGTGCTCTGTAAAGGTAGGAATGTAGAGTAAAACTAGGATGCTAAGGTGGAACAAGCTCCATCTCCAATGATGAAGGATCCAGCATTGCATATCTTATGGTTGTGAATGAAAAGGTGGTTAATAACATAGTTGATTATGATATGTATATATATGATGTACATACGATAGGATATATATATATGTTATAGTTGAAAGGTGCTGTACAAAATACACATCTTGTCTAGAAAGATTTCTAGCTCATTTACTGCCACACGAAACGGCTGTGAAAGGGCTTTCATAGACATAGTTGTAAATTTATTCGAACTCGTATATTTGTGAGTAAAAAAAATCATGCGCCATAATTATATTAAACGTTTCTATCATACAAATGTACGCTATCAACCACGGCATGCTGTACTACAGCTCATATTCAGCTACAATTTGCTATCCTAGATGTCAAATGCTTGTTAGAGATTTTAGAGATCTCTATTATGTACTCTTGACGTGATGCGGCCATGATGCCGAGGCGCGCCGAGGATTGACACTTTGTGTCTTCTAATCACAGCCTATGCCACACCAGTCTTTGATATTTTTAAATATGGGGACCCATTGGACCATCAAATCGCCGATCTCAGGAACTAGGGCATTCTGCTATGTTAGAACGGTTTCCTACGATAGAGTTTGCCACAAATACGAAAATAACACGCTGTTTAGCGCACTGCGCTACGTCCTTCTGTAGCATTTACGCATCTCCGTAATCAGAATAAGCCTCGCCTTCTTCGTTGATGCCAGATGGGCATGAATGGGGCGTCAACGACGTGACCCGTTACTGTACCTACTGTCTTTCGCCAGCCTGTTTACTTTTCGTAAATAATGAAATGCCTGGCCGATGCATTTCGCATCGAAGTGGAACATTTTCGGCATTTTCATTCGCTGTCGCAAGTGAACGAGTGCGTCATTCATTGAACATTGAAGTTTTTCTTAAAATTAAATAATTCCGAAAATCCCTAACCGCGCTACTCGATTGTTTTAGCCAAAGAACGTAGCTGTGTGTGTGACGTCTTGCCCGCGCGCTTTATGCTTGGCTTAGCGGGCCTCGAAATGAATATCGGAGGAAGCCCCCTCGAAACACGCGTGTTTGTTTATATATATATATAGCTTTGTGACATCAGGATGGGCGGTGTCGGGAGTTCTGCGATGATAACCTCGTAATTTCTCAGCATTTCACATTCCAGCAAGGTGCATGGAACATTTTACCAATTTAGTGGTGTCAGTTAGTCACGGATATGTCACAGTAAGTACTAACCGTATGTTTCACATACGTTCACCTATTTTGCACACAGGCGGTGGATCATTGTGAAAAATTGTGTGAATATTTATTTCTATTGAGACGTTCCAAGTGCCTGTGCTTTCAACAGTCTTGTACGTCAATGCACGTGCGTCAAGAGCCACAAACTCAACACAATTTCATCTCTGTTATTGTTTACACCTGAATGCGTGATTGATCAGGGAGGGGGTGCATGTAAGAGGGAGACATTTTCTTTGGGGTTGCGAAAAACACAATTCCACTTGACAATTTCATGGGCCATTTCAATTGGAAGCTCTGCAGAATGGACCTCCAACAAGCCCTTTGACTGACTAGTCAAGAAATTCAAAGGTCTGTATATTGCTCTTATTTAGCCGCTGATAGTTCTTATTTTGAACAAAGTCTTCATTTTTAGCTCATCTGACATAGTCAGATGCAGCTTGTAGAATCGCACGATCGTCCGTTCGTCCGTCCGTCCGTCCGTCTGTCAACAGTTGGGCACACATCTTAACCGCTCGACGTACGGTCACGATATTCGGCACATTGGGGGGAGTCGTCAAAACGAGTTGGGATGTCGAAGCTGGGGTCAAAGGTCAAAGGTCAAGAGGGTTAAAAGAAGGAACATTCACTCCTTAACTTAAGGTATAGGGAGGAAATGCAGAATTGCGGCACAAATCTAAACGGCTCGACCTAGGCTCGTGATAGTTTGTGTATAGCATCATTGTAGGAAAACCATCACTGTGCCGAAATTGGAGTCACAGGTCAAAGGTCAATGGCACAGGGCAGATTTTAGACATTTTCTGAGGGACATGGTCTGACGGTGCGATTGAAAAACTTTTTTGTTTCAGCGGTGACCTAGCATTTTTATGGCATTATTGAAAGGACCATGAAATGTACTTTCTGCTGACATGCGAAGAGTAAGTGTCAGATAACTTTTGATCCTCAAGAGGAGGGTTAAACATGGATTTGTTGACTGTCTGTTAGAAAGAATTTGACTACCGGGTTTGCTAGTAGAATCTAGACATGCCTGGATGTATGAGGCTACAATGTCACAGTAAAATTTCAAAATGCTAAATTTGGTTAAAGAAGGTTTATGCTCCTTAAATCGTATAATTTCGATGGCATTCTGTACTGTCAGTATGTTACATGTAACGTATGCCACTGCCATGCTACTGCCAGTGCATGTGTTGCTGGTACTGTGTAGTTTTTGCCTGCGTTAATTGGTTACAGGTGGCAGCTCTCTATTGCAGCCTGTAGGCTTGCATAGGTAAATTGATGAGTGCTTACCTATTGTCTTACAAATAGTTGTTGCTACTACGTACGATGGGAGCTTCCATCTTTAATCTGAAGACACTTAAACGTACGCGCCATCTCGTGGCAACTTCATAACGATCCCAACGAACATTCCTTGAGAAGGTTCCTGACACCATTCCCTGTGCATTCCACTGTTTCGGCGTGTATGTGAACACATTTGGGACTAACAGGGTTTACTAGAATCCCACCACTCCACCACAGAGTCACCGCAGTAGACGGTAGATGAGCGCTGTCGCTCCGCGGCACTTGTTATCTTCTAAAACTACAGACCATCCGCTGACCGCTGTGGAGACGTGCGCCGGGCCTCGAATTTGGTGCACGTCTCTACTGCAGACAGCGCTTCCACAGGCACTTGGAACGTTTCAATAAAATATAATGCTAAATAAATGTGTCTGTCTGCAGCGGCATCCAGCGTTTGTTGCAGATAAGCATTTGGATGGCATTTGCAGGAAATTGGCGGCAATAATAGGTGAAAGAGAGTATAGAAACATTAAGACTTTGGTAGTAAATAGATTTCGTATTTATTTAGCATTGTATTTTATTGAAACGCTCCAAGTGCCTGTGGGCGTAGCACCCTTACCTCTCACATCTGGTAGCTATGGTACCCCTTCCACCGCGCTTGTCTGGGTCATTGGGGAAAACTTTCTACCTGTCGCTGTTGAACTGGTCTCTGGTTGTATGACGTCATCCCCCCTGAAATCTCCACAATAGCCTGCAAGCTCATGTGGCCTAAGCATGGGGCTAGGGTTTCGGGGCCAGGGGCGTATAGCTACGGGGGGAGCCTGGGGGGCACGTGCCCCCCTCACAAATTTTCTGTGCCCCCCCCAGGTGCCCCCCCACTGAAAATTCATGCTTGATAAAAAAAAAATTGAATTAAAAACAATGCCGTTAGAACAGTATAATACAAAGAAAGAGGGTTCGAACCACATCTCAGTAAAATTATATATTGTCCCCCCCCCCAAAAATGAAAGCCCCCCCGCCCCCCCCCCCCCGCTGAAAAAATCCTAGCTACGCCACTGTTTGGGGCTAGCATGCTTGATGTAATTATGCCTAAGTAGTCCTATATGCTAGGGCCTGGCTAGGCCTTCGACATGTTCGAAAGTTTTGTCAAAAGACGGCGCCACAATTGAATCATCTAGACAGGTGAAAATGACGACCGGACATCACCAGCCAATGTCTTCCGAAGTCTCTGGAAACTGCCGAGAGGTCATCGATTGGTCTCTGCCATATTATTTTATTTATTCCAGGAAATGCACAGTCCACTGAATACAGAAGCTACCGCATTGCAAGTGGAGTAAGAGGAGCTCCACAGTATAATATTACCAAACCCCAGTTGGAATCTTTTCTTGCGTGTCGGTTCACGAACAGAAAAATGGCAGAAATGCTAAAGGTGTCTACTAAAACAATCCAGAGGAAGATGAGGTAGGCTTAATCATTCACATGTACAAAAATATGAAAAATGTGCTAGCCTCAATAGGCCTACACTGAAAGTTATCAATCATGTCAATGACACTATGATTTGAAAGTTCAGGGCATGCTATACCACTGTGACTTGAGAACAAGAATGTTTTCAGGTTCCATTGAAGACCGGGACACTGCATGGTGGCAGGTACTGGCACGAATGTATTGCGGTCTTGTGGTAGTAGACTGTTCCACGTGGTGCCAAAAATATTCAACAATAGCCAAGAATAATGAATATTAATTTATGTGAAAGAAACTATAGCCTACATACCATCCACAACAAAAATTCTGAAATGAATCTGAAAAAATGCATGTTTGAACTTTCATCATGTTTTCCTAGGACCTGGCATGCAATCATCATGATCATTTGTTTAATCACTTTTCAGGCAGTTTGGATTGGCTGTCCTGGACAAACCACGGGTGATGGCTCAGGAGGAGCTAGATGCAGCTGTGAAAGATGCTATTCATGACAACCGACAGATTGGTGCAAACAATGTCCATGTGAAGTTACGGAACAAGGGCATCAATGTTCCGCGAGACAAAGTACGTGAATCTGTTCGACGCGTCGACCCATTTGGAGTGGCTCTGCGATCAAGACCTACACTTAAACGGCGAGAATACAGTGTCAAGGGACCTAATTCCCTTTAGCAATTGGATGGCAACATGAAATTAATAAGGTAATGGTAGAAACCCTAGTGTATGACCATGATGACTGCTCTTGTTGGCTGTGACCGCAGGAATGAACCTGGTGTTGTTCATCTGATGCACCATTTGGCTGTCCTTGCGGCATCATGTCGAGGACGAAATCTATCCGCTTTATTATACTAGGATGCAATTTTTATTACCCACACTTCACAGGGGCCTTCTAATTCTAATGGAAATTACACTCCTCTCGCAGTAGTTTTTCGTGCACCCGCCAAGTCTCCAACCACTGCTTCAAATAGACAGCTAGCTGTTTTGTCAAAAGATGACGCCACAATCTAATCATCAATCGAAAATGACGACCGGACATTCACCAGCCAAAAACTCTTTGTGGATTACATCTTGCTACCATGATTACGATATCGGACACATATTTCCCAAGATGCCTCTTTTTAGCTCAGCTGACGAAGTCAGATGCAGCTTGTAGAATCGCATGATTGTCAGTCTTTCCGTGCGTCCGTCCTTGCGTCCGTCAACAGTTGGGCACAAATCTTAACCACTCGACGTACGGTCTTGATATTCGGTACGTCGGGGAGGGGGGGATTGCGAAAAGGACTCGGGATGTCGAATTTGAGGGTCAAGGGTCAAAGGTCAAGAAGTGTCAATGGAGGGGGAATATTTCCCCCGTAACTTAAGGTATAGGAGGAAATACGGAATTGACCTACGCTCTTAATATTCGATGTATAGTGTGATGGGGTGGAAACCCATCACCAGCGCGAAATTGGAGGTCACGGGTCAAAGGGCAGTGGGGGAAAGGTCAGATATCAGACCTTTGCTGATGACATGGTCTAATGGACCGAGTGCAAAACTTTTTTGTTGACCTTCAAGAGGAGGGTTAAACATGGATTTGTTGACTGTTAACAAAGGACTGAACTGCTTTTGCTATTAGAGCCCCCTCCACCCGCCCCTCCACCCATCCTCCCCCCACCCTCCCCCACCACCACCACTACGCTTGCGCTCGACGCATATCCATGATAACATGTTAATATAGCGAATTCATTAAAGTTACACAGCTGTATCTTTATTACTGTACTACCAGTAGCTATAGGAAAGCCTATCATAGATTTTAGATCTGTATTAGTAGTATCCTAGATATATGCTCTGAGCGCAAACACGGTAGCAGGAGGGCACTGTCGCTCTGCGGCACTTGTTACAATAAAGTCCACTCCATTTTTGCTTGGTACATGGGGCTGAGTAGAGGAAGGTTCGTGATCGCGATCTGCGATATTCAATATGGCCGCACTGGTGAAAATTTAATGGATTCATAATAAGATATATTACATAATTTTGTTTCCTTACTCTTGTTAATTTCCATTTTGTTTTTATCAGTTGGCGTATAACGGTGCAGTCGATGGATACTCAAGATTGATAGTTTTTCTGAAGGCTTCCATCAACAACAAGGCGACAACAGTATATCAACACTTTGAAAATGCCGTGAAAGAGTATGGTTGGCCGTCACGGGTTCGAGTGGATAAGGGGAGAGAATATCTTTGTCTGCGATGCAATGTTGCACTATCGCGGGGCAGTGCGTGGAAGCGCAATAAGAGGAAAGAGCGTCCACAATATCCGCATCGAGAGACTGTGGGTGGATGCATGGAATGGCTCCACCAATGTGTTTTATGAACTTTTCTGCCAGCTTGAAGCGAATCATGTACTGAATCCGAATAGTGATGAGCAACTGTTTGCACTGCATTATGTGTACCTGCCACGCATTCAGAAATCTTTGGATGATTTCACAGCCATTTGGAATCACCACACATTGAGAACAGCAAAATCATCTTCACTACAACTATTCGTTCAGCGTTCACTTGAGTTGCAACGTTCTGCAAACACTGCAATGAGGGGAAATGCACTGAAATGTTTCGTCAAACGGAGGAGACTGATAACGATGCAGATGGTGAGAGTGCCAATAGTGAACCCGAGAATGACAACAATTTGACAATTGTGAATATTCCCGAGACCATTACGCCCATCACAGCAGATGACTGCACAAGTGTCCGGTGTGCGGGGCCGCATTCTACGACGAGCAGGCATTGGAGAGACATGCGTTACTCCACGGCAGCGGCAGTGGTAATAGCTGGCTGCTGGTGGCGGCGGCACCCGGAAACATAGACACTTTATGCGTCGGTATGGATGGAATCCTCTAAATTATTTAAGTGGCTCGCGGCCAGTAGAACAGTGTGTTCTGTGTGTTAGCTAGATGCTTATGACCTGTTTGTAAGGCCTGAGTTGGCACTTTGAAGCCATTATGTACTTGATGGTAGTATATATGATTTCTCGCAAGTGTACTTTTTAGCATTGTAAAATTGTAAGTAATTTCACGCCGACACACTAAGAATGCTTTTGTGGTGAGCATAATTACTAGTGTGATTTTACATGAATTTAATTGGTATGTATAATAATTTTATTGTATCCAATGCTGAGCGTTCATGAGCGAAATTAGACAATTATCACAGTGACTACTAAAAGACACTTTGTGTTAGAATGATTTGTGCAAATTAGACTATGGCGTAGCTGTAGCATGTATGAAGCACGTGCTCTCTGTATAGGTAGGAATGTAGAGTAAAACTAGGATGCTAAGGTGGAACAAGCTCCATATCCTATGATGAAGGATCCAGCATTGCATAATTATGGTTGTGAATGAAAAGGTGGTTAATAACATAGTTGATTACGATATATATGATGTACATACGATAGGATATATATATATATATATATATATATATATATATATGTTATAGTTGAAAAGTGCTGTACAAAATACACATCTTGCCTAGAAAGATTTCTAGCTCATTTACTGCCACACGAATCGGCTGTGAAAGGGCTTTCCTAGTTGTAAATTTGTATATTTGTGAGTAAAAAAAATCATGCCTCATAATTATATCAAACATTTCTATCATACAAATTTTGTACGCTATCAACCACGGCATGCAGCTCTATAGCTACAATTTGCTATCATAGATGTCAAATGCTTGCATGCATGCAGTATCCTCTGTCTTATGCCCATATGTGTCTATAGGTGTATAGCATCATGGTAGGAAAAGCCATCACTGTGCCGAAATTGGAGGTCACAGGTCAAAGGTCAATGGGGGCAGAGGGCAGATTTTAGACATTTTCTGAGGACATGGTCTGACGGAGCGATTGAAAAACTTTTTTGTTTCAGCGGTGACCTACCATTTTTATGGCTTTATTGAAAGGACCGTGAAATGTACTTTCCGCTGACATGCGAAGAGTAAGTGTCGGATAACCTTTTGATCCTCAAGAGGAGGGTTAAACATTGATTTGTTGACTGTTAACAAAGAACTGAACTGCTTTTGCTATTATTAGAGCCCATACCTGTGTGAATGTGAGGCTACAGTTGCACAGTTGAATTGCAAAGGCAAATGTTTGTTGAACAAGGTTTACGCTCCTTAAATCTTATTATGTTCTAAAGAAGTCTGTCTATAGCACCCTGAAGGCTGAATCAGTGAATGCTCGCGTGGGTAGGCAAAAACACGGGGCAGCCCATGACCGGCACGCTTCTAATCATAATTGTTGCCTGCCAACCTGCAATGCACATGTGTCTGCAATGCATAGAGATTAGGTGGGTGCGAAAGTGTAGCTGATATATTTGTTCGAATTGCATGGCTACGAAAGTCAAACAAGAATAAAGAAGACTTATGTATAAGACGTCTTGCTATGCACAAATGAATTTATCAGCAGAACACCAGACACCAGATGAGCCCTGTCGCACTGCGGCACTTGTTTATATAACGTGATATTGCTATCGGCATTTCGATCTCAGCTAACACAAAACCATACTATAACGTTATGTTATGGTTAAGATAAATGCGCGCACACACACGCACACGCACATACACGCACATATGGACGTACACACACATGCATACACGCGCACACTCGCGTGCATTCACGCACACATGCATGCGCGCACTCACGCATGCACACGAGTACAAACATAAACATACGCACGCCCACATACGCACATGCGCAGGCACACGCACTCACGCGTACAGGCATGCACACGTGCACATATTATACACGCACGCACAGATTATTATTTCCCAGTTAGTATTGTAATTCCAAATGTTCCTAATAATTATTACTCTGAGCTAAGTAACAATAGAAACATAGGAATTGGAAAATCAAATGAAAGAAATAAAACGCAAAATAATTTGCCTGAAACTGCCCTCTTTACCCAGATTTACCATGCCCTTACCCACTGAGCTATTTCGCGTAGTATGCCAGTGCCACACACATGTATGCCAGTAGTATAGTGTGCCAGTCACACATTAAAAGATAGTGAGGTATACCGATTCCTTAGGTTAGAAACGGTAACTGATTTTAAATTGACTCTTGTAAATCGATTGCGCGAAAGTCGGAGATAAACTCGTTCGAGAGTGGGTGGGTTCATATGTAGCATATATTCGTTGCCATTATTGAAAGCGGCTTAAGTGTACGTGTGCAAAAGTACCTAGCTGTGTTCCTTTGGTTTCATGAATTCCTGTGTTCATGTGTTTTATAAGTAGCATAGGTATTCCTCGCAATTATTGAAATGGTTTAAGTGTATACGCGTAGGTATGCTCATACCTGCGTAGGTATACGCGTACCTGTGCTCATTTGTCTATTGGCTTTCCTCACATTGGCTTTCTTCTCTGGTTCGAGATACGTATATGAACAGCGAGGTGTGGTAGAACTGAAGCGAGCTCTATTTATAATGAGATGCTAATATATATGCTAGCGATTTTATCGCAATATGCACATCAGACCACTCCTACCTTGATTGTAACCATAAGACACGCCTGACACAGAAAACATGGCAAGATTTTATTCGCGTTGTTTGACATAACATCATAATACCGATCCATGGTTCCCACAAAAGTGTGAATTAGTTTTCAATGACCTTTCAAGGACATATCAAGGACATTTTTTTTTCAAGGACAATCCGTGACAAGTAGTTTTAGCTTTTTAGAGTCATCATAAATAGTTGTTTTACACGAGTGCCGACAGCAGATTAAACAGCTGCTATAGCTCGCCGATTACCGACGTATATGGCAGGCGAGGTGGGACACAAATGGTATTTAGTGACAGTCACAAATTCGAATTAATGTATGATATTGTCTATTTAGTGACTATCATATATTCCATTTAGTGACAGTCATTAAATCAACCAATCGGATACAACCTATTTTTTCTCAGCCAATCATTTTCTCATGGAATTATTGACAAACACTAAATGATTTAATGATAGTCGATAGACACAAATGGTATTTAGTGACAGTCAAATTCGAATTTATGTCTATCATATATTTTATTTAGTGACAGCCGTTAAATCAACCAATCAGATACAACTTATTTTTCCTCTGCCAATCACGGGCATGGAATTATTGACAAACACTAAATGATTTAATAATAGACACAAATGGTATTTAGTAACAGTCACAAATTCGAATTAATGTCTATCATATATGGTGAAATGTTAGCCAGCCAAATGACCGTATTTCAGCTGAAACTTTTTAACCCCCCCCCCCCGAGGCACAAAATGTGAATTTATGCCTATAATGCACGCGCACGCGCGCGTGCGACCATACCTGCGTGTGCGCGTCCGTTAATGTGTGTATGTGTTTGTGTGACTGACAAAACGTATTATATAGCCGCGCAACTGATGCCGTGGGCGATACTATCCGCGAGAGGGGGAGGGAAATACTGAGGGGAAGGGAGTGAGGGGGGAGGAGGAAGGAAAGAGGAGAGAAATGAGAGAGGGACGGAGGGAGGAAAGAATGCAGACGGAGATGTGCACACGTATGGGCAGTACATACGCACGTACGGCACAAACGGAACACACACAAGCATGGATCGATGCACATATTCCTTCTAATATATAATTACTTCTCTCGCCTTCCCGCTCACCCTCTCCCTCTTTCTTTCACACATACGCACACGCACACATACACACACGCACACACACGCACGCACACGCACGCACGCACGCACACACAGTCTCTCTCTCTCTCTCTCTCTTTTCAAACGCGACGTCGCCCTTTTTTAACCGTGTTCCATAAATGCCATCGCGCGGCGTGCGGCCCATCTAATTTCTCTCTTTCTCGGGCGCTATACATATACACACATATATATAATATATATATATTATACTCGCCTCTCGTCGTTTCTTCTTGCGCACTACCTCACACCCCTCTCGCGGATGGTATCGCCCTTGACCAGTCAAGCATGGAAAAACTTTTGCAGGTAAATGGCCGGATTTCAGCCTAAACTTTTTCACTCCCCGAGGTACAAAATGTGAATTTACGCCTATAATACACGCGCACGCGTGCGTGCGACCATACCCGCGTGTGCGCGTTTGTGTGACTGTAAAAACGCGTAATATAGCCGTATAATCGTATTTTGTGCTTTGGGGGGGGAGGGTAAAAAAGTTGAGGCTGATAACCAGA